GATGAAAGAAGAATCTTGTACTGAAGGTGACTTCTGGGAGTTTGCTTAGGGCCAAAGAAGGAATTCTGGCTCTCTGAGTCAAATTCCATCTGTTGGAATTTCCATATTTTCCCAACCAGAGTGCCAACTTGTGCCAAATGTGCTATTCTTTTCATTTTTTTTGTGGAACTTTGTTTCCTAAAAATTTAAAAAAAAAAATAAAAAAAAAAGAAAAAGAAAAAAGAAGAAGAGGCTGTTGATTTGGCTACTTGTCATCACATCTAGGTCAAACATGTGTCGATACATGCCATATAGGGCTGGACGTGGTTCAATTCGATTTGGTTCTAAAGAGAATCAAACCGAACTTGAATTTTCGGATATTTAGTAAATAGATCATCGGGTCCAAATTTAATTATGGAACGGTACGGGTTTGGTTTCATTCGGTTACTGGGTTCCATACAATAATTAATTTTTTTTAATATTTCCAACGCCACATTAAATTAACTAAAGATATGTTCAATTTTAACTCTTATAAAATAATGTAGTCCAATCTTATGTATCTTTTACGTCTCTCTTTATTGAGTTATTCATAAATTTAATTGTTAAAATCACAGAAAAATGAAGATAACGAGCTCATAATAATGAATAGGGGCATAGCCGTGCTTTCAATTCAATCACCAGAACTGTAGAAATGACGCTACAATTAAATTATAGATTTTGGTAAAACAGGTCAATTTGATTAAATTGAGCTTGGGTTAGTTAAAAATAAGAAAAATATATGTTGGGTTTAGGCTAAATTAATTAGTTAATAAATTATTTAAAAAAAAAAATAATTTGGCTTATTTAAGATAAATAAATTAAAATAATTGGGAGATTCAGTTCTTATTTGGTTTTTGAGTTCTGGTCTAGAATTGAAAATCGAATCGAGCTCGTCGGTTCTCAATTCAAATACCCATTCAGGTATTTATCTTAAAAAGAATCGCTCGATTCAATTCAGTTCAAGTTGTGTTCGATATAGTCCGATTCAAATTGTGAGTTTTGTGCAGCCTTAATACCATATCACTTAGCTATGGGCTGCCTCAGCTCATCACTTTACCTCCTAACATGTTTCAAGGATCATAGGCTTCTGGATCACATTAAGAATGTTAGATACAGAAAATCTGCTTTTTTGCTCAAGTATTTAGAAACATTACTATATAGGTATTGCTTTCCTAATTGTATCTAGATGCTTAAGCCCTGATAGGCTGAGCGCACGATCACTATAATGGTCAACATTGTTGTAATGGGAGTTTTCTATCATTTTATTCAATATGATGTGCTCTGTTTCACAATCAAGTTGCAGATCACATGCACATGAACTTCTCTTTTCTCAAGGTATCCTATTCTGTATTGTGATTCCCAGGAATGGGATATTGATGCGACCAAAGAGAGTGCTCCTAATGCTGCGACTGTGAAGTATACAGATTTTTTGCTGGCCACAGCCTCAGGAAAGGTTGAAGGAGTGAAAGCCCCTGGTAAACTAGCAACACCTTTTGAGAAAACGAAATTGGCTGCTTATACTCTCGGTGCTATGACACCCTGCATGAGGCTTTATGCCTTTCTAGGTGAGGAGGTGCAGGCACTTCTTGATCCCAGTGAAGGCCCTCATCCCTATCAGAAATGGATCAGCAATTATTCCTCTGAAGCTTTTCAGGTTTGTTTTACTACTGAGAAACCATGCACTTTGTTCATCTGTTCACAAATTTAAATTTTCACCAACTACAGGGAATTTATACATAATGGTCTTACAACTCTGCATTGTTGTTTTCTCAATTTAGGCTGTGACTCTGCAAACTGAGGACTTGCTGGAAAAACTAAGTGTGTCTTTGACAGGCGAAGAGCTTGATACCATTGAAAAGCTCTACCATCAAGCTATGAAACTTGAAATAGAGTTCTTCTTAGCTCAGCCACTTGCCCAGAAAACTGTTGTTCCTCTCTTGACAGAGCATAATCCAGCAGAACATTGTCTAATTTTGTTTTCCGATTTTGATTTGACATGCACTATTGTAGATTCATCTGCCATTTTGGCTGAAATTGCAATTATAATGGCCCCAAAATCAGATCAAAATCTTTCAGAAAATCAAATTGCTCGGATGTCTTCAGCTGATTTGAGAAGCACTTGGGGAGAACTCTCCAAGCAGTACACTGAAGAGTATGAACATTGTATAGAGGGCATCTTGCTTTCTGATAAAGGTGTGCTATTGTATCTTTCTTACTACAATTTTCAAGCTTTCCAATTTTTTAATTATATTGTGTCAATTGGTGTGAAACTTGGATGGACAAAAGCTTGAAAGCTAATCTTGTATATGCAGCGGAACAATTCAATTACGAAGGTCTGCATAAAGCTCTTGAGCAACTTTCAGAGTTTGAGAAAAGAGCAAACTTGAGGGTGATAGATTCTGGGGTACTTAAAGGTCTGAATGTTGAAGACATAAAACGAGCTGGGGAACGCCTGCTTTTCCAAGATGGCTGCACTAGTTTCTTCCGAAGTGTCACGAGGAATGAAAAGTTGAACACAGACATCCATGTTCTTTCTTATTGTTGGTGTGGTGATCTCATTAGGTCTGCCTTTTCATCTGGTGAGTTCTTTTCTAGTCAGAAACTGGAATTATTGTATTCTCATAAGGCTATTACATATGGTTTCCATCTGTCTGATTGAACCCTTCGAATTTATTTTTGAAGAATAATCGTATTTTTCCACATGTAGAGTTTGGCTTGTTTTTTCTTGTTATATTCTAAAGATACATGAATATAGTACCTGTGCACTCTTAACTATAAAATTTTTGAAAAAATAATGCCTTTTTAAAAAAAAAAAAAATAATTCTCCCCAGTTTTTGAAGAGATATAAAAAGACAAATAAAAGCATAAACAAGTTCAGTAATATGCGTCTAAATAATAATCCATATTTTATACTCAGCTGTGCAACTTTTTCTATTGGTATGTGACTTAAATTTTGGCATCCACAATTAAACAACATACAATTTTATTTTCGTCAAATTTCAATGGGGAAAGTGCATCTCCAAAATTCTTTAGGGGTCAATGTTATAGAACCTCTATTATCTGATCTGAATATATTTATCTACGAACGGTGTTTGTATAATCAGAAACTATTATAATTTGATTATTTTCTTTTTATATTATTAACAGTAAAAGCGTTATTTAGGGATCAATAATAATTTCTGCAACTGAGACTGATGGACAATTAGCTTTTAGTGAAAATGTGGTTTTCAAAATCTCTTGGCCTCTTGGTTCACTTTTCTCTCCCACTAAAGTTCCTAATTTTTTTGATACCCAGTCAGTAACAATTAGACAGTTGATGCACTCTTGTCACTGAAATTAGAATTTATGTGGTTATATGCTTTTGATGTTGTACACATCTTGGATTATGTTTCATGTCAATTACTGTTATAGTATGTAGTCTCGCTACATTTCTGATATTGTTGTAGAACTCTCTGAGATTTATGTTGTAAATTAGTAATAGTTATATAGTATGTAGTCTACGTCTAAATTCTATTCACACCATTTTGTAATAGTACATAGTCTCACTACAAATGAATATATTATAAAGAGCAGGACCATTGAGTAAAAATTATCATGTATTTATGGGATAATAATCAACAAGCTAGCAAGACGCATGGTCAGCAGAAGCTCCTGATAGACCAAGTGAAGAATAGATGGAAACACCGTATCAAAAGTTTAAGAGTTGAATAATTGTATGTGAGAATTTTGCGTGTTGTCCTCTGGAAAGCATTTCTTCCGGACTGTGTTCTTATATATCACCTGTACTTTGAACATGGCATTCCAATGGATTGTCTCAGTTCTTTTATGTTATTTTGTGGAGTATTCTCTCTTATTATTATGTTAATGTTTTTCTTATGATTTCAAGTAGGTGGTTTAGACAGTCTGAATGTACATGCAAACGAGTTTATCTACAAAGAATCTTCCTCTACTGGTGAAATTGTTAAGCAGGTCGAGTCTCCCATTGACAAAGTTGAAGCATTTACTAATATCCTGCAGAACTGCGACAAGGACAAAAAGACTCTGACGGTGTATATTGGAGATTCAGTGGGTGACTTGCTTTGCTTGCTTAAGGCAGATGTTGGCATTGTAATAGGTTCAAGTTCAAGTCTGAGACGGGTGGGAAGTCATTTTGGTGTTTCTTTTGTTCCTTTGTTCCCTGGTGTGGTCAAGAAACAGAAACATGATGTCAACAATGGCTCACCTAGTTGGAAGGGTCTATCTGGAGTACTTTACACTGTCTCAAGCTGGACAGAGATTCATGCGTTTATTCAGGGTTCATAAGACTTGCACTTATGTACGGATTTCATGACAATTTAGATGAAGAAATGTCAATATAATAGGATACATACATACAAGCTTGGTGGTGTTTTTGTGAGCCACAGATCAGCTTTGTTCTTCCCTTGATTTTTATTACAGGGTCTACAGTGGGGAATTTAAATGTGATTCTTTTGGCTGATATTCCATGTGAGTTTTTTACTACTGTTTTAGCCTTTTTATATATATATTGGCATTACTTTTTCCATATTAACTTTTGTCTAGATTTCCAATCTGCAGAGGTTTTGAGATTTCCCGTTGCTGCTCTGATGAAGATGAGTTACTTTAGTGTCATTGGATTCAAGTGTAAAAAATACTTTTTTTGTACTTCGCTGTTTGAATTTTGGATTGGATGGAATTATGGTTGATGCATTGAATGGTCATTGTACGGATTCTCTCGATTGCTCTTTATATTGGGAGAGAAGCTTCGGAAAACTTTTCTAAATTTAGCAGCTCTCTTCGTATAAGATACTAGTGATCTTATCTTTTGTGCCAAAGTAGTAGATCTTACTGCTGCTGCTTGTTATCACCTAATTTCTGTGATCTATCTGAACTGCTTTCTGGAAATAGTATGGTGCTTATTACTAGATTCTGCTATGTCCCCCCCCCCCCCCCCCCCTCCCGCCCTCCTGAATTGAGAGTCGATGGGTTCGGTTCAGTTCTTGGTTTTAGATCAAGAACCCAATAATCGAATAAGAACTGAATTTTCCTAATTTTTTAAATTTATTTATTTATTTTAAATAAATTCAAATTATTTTTTTAAATAAATTTGCTAACTAATTAATTTAGTTCAAATCCAAAAAATATGATTTTTCTATTTCTAATTTTCAATTCAAGTCTAAATTAATCAAATCAGCTTAAGTTTTATTCAAATTTGTTATCATACCCTAATGTTGTTTCTATCCTTCAAGAGAAATTGAATTAAAGCTCGATAGTGCATTTTTTAATTATTGTGAGCTCGTTATCTTCTTTTTTATGTGATTTTAACAATCAAATTTTTTAAGAACTAAGCAAAGAGAGACGCAAAAAATACATAAGATTGAAATACGTTATTTTGTAAGAGTTAAAATTGAACATATCATTATTAGAATTAATATAATTTTGTAAGTATTAAAAAAATTAATTATAATACAGAACTTGAGAACCAAATAGAATAAAAAACGAATAGTTCCATAATTAAATTTGAATCCGATAGTTTCACTTACTAATAGGGATGGAAGTGGGTTGGGTTCGGGGCATAGCACCGTTGTCCTGCCCTATCCCACCCCGCCTTAGATGGAGCAAGGCGACGGCTTGCCTTATTTGTTGCCCCATTTACATTTGTTATTTTTATTTATTATTTACATTTTCAGATTTTCGAAAATAGAAAGGATAGATTCGTCGCCTTGCCTCATTTGTTGCCCCATTTACATTTTTTATTTTTATTTATTATTTACATTTTCAAATTTTCAAAAATAGAAAGGATATATCACATTTGCATTTGATCCCTTTGTAACCATTGTTTATACTTATAAAATTATCTCATTGTTTCGCACGGGCTCGTCGCTAACAATTAAAAAGGGATCAGATGATTGTGTAAGGGACAAACCTCTTGAGACAAAGTC